GTCTTGCTTGCTCCGTCTGCATATCCCGCCACGTTTCATGGCGCCAACATCGCAGAGCGGATCTCGTTCGGAAAGCGATAGGATGGGCCTGGAGTGTCCTGGAGAACTCCGCTCCGGATTTCGAGGTGAATTTCGTGCGGATCTGTTTAAGCCAGGAATGAAGACTAAAACGAATCCACGCGAAATGCACCTCGTTTTTCACTCGCCGCTTCGGGCAACAACACATCCACGCATAAGTCCGCTGCAGCACGTCTGCAAGTTCGGTACAGTGACGTGTAGGGAGAGGTCGGCGTTCCTCCTCACGCTGACGTAACTGCCTCTGCCTCCTCTTCAGCGAACGCTTGCTGCGCGGGCTGCTGCTGGGTCGGATGGCAGGGCTGGGCTGCTGCCAGGTCCAGGGGAGAGGCCGCTGCGCGCCCTGCAGCAGGTCGCCCAAGACCCTCAGGGAAAGACCCAGAGGGAACTCGCGCAACGGCTGCACTCAAAGAGCGACGCCCCCTTCGCTATGCTCCTTGGACGCTGGGGGCTGGGCGCTGCTCCGCCCCCGCGGAGAGCCCCGCGCGCCAGCCTGGCCGCTGGTGAAGGGCCCCGACTGCCGAGCCGCCGCGTGGGCGCTGCTGGGTCAGGATTCCGCGCCTGTGGGCAACCGCTGCTGCAACCGCCTGTGGACAGGCGAGCGGGCGGGCATTCCCGCGGTAAGCCACTCTGCAGGAGGGCGCGCCACGCCTTCGTGCGCGTGCGGAAGGGGCGCGAAGTTGCAGAGCCGCGATGTCGAGGATGTGTGGGGCCGCGTCCACGAGAAATGCGTTCCCCGCGCGGCCCGGCAGGTCCAGGCTCCCGCCTCGGGTGTTGCTAGAAGTGCCCCTGGCCCAAGGTGCCCCCAGCTTTTATAGCTCCACTGTGGAGCCCCTGGGGCCCCTTGGGCCTCGCGAGGGTGCTCTGGAGGCCGTCTGGGCCACCCCTGGACTCCTGGGGGCACCTTGGGCCAGGGGCACTTCCAGCAACACCCGACCGCCTGGGACCGGTGGCCCTGGCGCTGCGACGCGGCCGACTGCGTTGCTGGCGGCTTCCCCGCCTGGGCGGCGCGTGCAGCGTCATTCGTGGGCCCGGTCGAGGTCGAGCGCGAGGGGTGCGCTCCGCGACCTCGAGGCGCAAGGCGGCGATTGCTCCCGGATGCTGGCAGACGTCGCAGGCTGCAGCCTCCTGGGGGACGCGTGCGGCCCGACCGCGGTTGCGGCCGCTGGCGGTGCGATGGCCGCCGGAGGTGAAGCGGACAAGCTCCACCGCTACCCCGTGAGCCAGGCTTCCTGTCGGCCCACGAGAAAGCCCTCTGGGCAGCGGGGCGCCGTGCCACCTGCGACAGCTGGCGCGGGACCGCGCACAGGCCCTGACGATTGCCTGCTGCCGAAACGGCCGCGCGCGCTGGCTCGGCCTTGGGCCGCGGAGTTCAGCGTCGCAGACAAGCCACGGAGCGACAGCTGCGGAATTTCGCACTTGGCGGGACCGTGCCGAGCAGGCTGCGTCGCGCCTGGCCAGCGAGCTGGCTGGCTACGCAGCTTACGGGGCCGCTGAATGGGCGCCGAGAACATGTTCTTCACCGTGGACGCGGCCGATGGCGATGAGGATGAGGATGAGGATGAGGATGCTGATGATGATGACGATGATGATGATGATGCTGCTGCTGCTGCTGATGCGGATGACGATGATGCTGATGACGATGATGATGATGATGCTGATGATGATGATGATGGTGGTGGTGGTGGTGGTGATGATGATGATAATGATGATGAGGATGATGATGCTGCTGCTGATGATGAGTATGACGTTGATTATAAGGTTGCTGATGATGATGCTGATGATGACGATGCTGATGACGATGATGATGACGCTGCTGATGATGATGCTGATGATGATGATGATGATGCTGATGCTGATGCTGATGCTGATGTCGTTGTTGTTGTTGTTGTTGTTGTTGTTGTTGTTGTTGTTGTTGTTGTTGTTGTTGTTGTTGTTGTTGTTGTTGATGATGATGATGATGATGATGAATAAAATGATGCTGCTGATGATTACGATGCTGATGAGCTCGAACTCGAGGCCATCTCCGAGAGGACGGGGGACGACTTCGACGACGTGGAGCCGCCAGTCGCGGCGGCGCACGGCGAGCTCCCAGTCGAGGCAATGCACTCCGAGGTGTCCACGCCCGTGGAGGCTGGCAGATTCACGATTGCTACGGCCGCAGCCCTCTGGCTCATCGAAGCCTCGGAGGTGACGGGGGGCGTGCTGGATGTTGCCAGGGATGCGGTGGGGAGCTGCGAGCCCTCCATCGGGCCAGCCGCCACGGCTCTCAGGAAGCGGGGGGGAATGGCCGAGACATTGTCTGCGCTTCCGCGCCTCGCCAGAGAGGATCGACGACGGGCAGCTGGTGTGGTGAGGGCGTGCTGGCGGGCGGCGCACATCATCGAGGAAGTGATGTACGCCGCTGCCTTCGGCCTCCTGTGAGCTCCTCCTTCCCTCAGCCCCTCGTTCCTCCGAGGGGTCGTCGTGCCAGGCAGCAGTCTCCGGCGGGAGCTCGCGGAGCGCCGTGACGCGTGGGAGGGCGGTCCTGCTCCCCCCTTCCGCCTCCCTCCGCCTCCTCCTCCTACTCCTCCTCCTCCTCCTTCTCCCCCTCCTCCTCCTCCTCCTCCTCGTCCTCCTCCTCCTCCTCTCCCCTGCATGTTTTGTCGTCGCACTAGGCTGGCTGTCGCCAGGTCCGCCCACGCAAAAAATCATGCGCCGGCCTGCCATGGCCGCGGCGCGCCGTGCGGCGACGATGGAGGAATTCGTTTGCTCCTCCTCTCTTTCCCCTTCCCCCGCCCCCCCCCTTCCTCCTCCTCTTCCTCCTCCTCTTCCTCCCTCTCCTCCTCCTTCCTCCTCCTCCTCCTCCTCCTCTTCCTGCTCCTCTTCGTCCTCTTCTTTCTCCTCCTCCTCCTCCTCCTCCTCCTCCTCCTCCTCCTCCTCCCCCTTCTTTTTTGCAGATGGGTCCGAGGGTTTGCGGGACTGCTCTCCCCCTTTTTCCTTTTCTCTCCTCCTCCTCCTCCCCTCTTCTTCCCCTCCCCCTTCCCCCCTCCCTCTCCGGATTCTTGACATGTGTTCCGATTCGATTAGTGTGCGTTCGATCTTCCTCTCCTGTTTTTCGTTGGTTACGCGGTCATCCGCGGAATTGGTCTGGGGGTCAGGCTTCTGCCGTATTCCACAGTTTGTGATTTGTGGCGACTCCCTGTCGAGTTGTCCGCTCTTTCTCCTCCCTCCTTTCCTCCTCTCCTTCGACTCAGGTTATGTACTGTAGTCTTAAGTCGGGCTTGTCCCTCCACAGGAGGAATATTCAAAAATAGTCAAAAATAGTATGGGGACTATTTGTGAGTATTCTTTGACCGTCTTGGAGTATTAAAAAAAAACTCGTCGAAAATCCCCCTGTAGGGGGACACGCCCGATTTAATTGTACTCCCCGCGGCAGCCCGCCCCCCCACCCACAACATTTCGGCTCGACCTGGGGGGCTCTGCCGAGCAGGGTCGATGCACGCCTTCTGGCGCGCGCCTGTGTGGCGACCATTCTGCACTCCTTGATTCGTTCCTGTTCTTCGTGCTGCGCACTGTGGTGGCTGCCGCGTCCTGGGAGTTCTTATGGCCGTGCTCTCCTCAAAACAACATGTATGGCTACAAATATACGCATATACATAGTTGTAGTCTGCGTATGCGTACACTTATACCTATACTTTAAATGTGCGTATATGTTTACGTTGAAACATCAGTATATGTAGAAGTGCAAGTGCAAACATAAGGAGAAGGAGAGGGAAGGCGGAGGAACATCAGGTGGAGGATCGGGGAAAGGAGGAGGAGGAGGTATCTGATGAGGGCCAGTGCAAGCAAAAGATCCACCAGCGATGTTGCAAGTCACCTTCCCTTCAAGTTCCCTCTTGATATATAGGCCCCTACAAGGATCCATACTTCATTTAGGGAGGTTCCCCGTTGGAAGACAGTCGTTTGACAATCCGCAACCGTACGACAACATGTTTCTTTGGACTTCAACGCCTCGAATCACCGTTAATGTTGCGAATCGCGCGAGAAAACGATCCCCTTGGAATTCAACGCCGCGAATCAACGTGACTGTGGCGCCCTGGCAGTCGTACATCGTGCCATACCTTATTTCCGGGACGTCAACCATAAGAGCAATCATAATACATTTGGAACGTGCTGCAATCTCTTACGCCGCATGTTGGCGGCGCTAAAGTGAGAACCACATTTTAAAAAAGGAGCCGCCGTCCAGCCGTGAAACTCTTGTGGGCGTTAAGAACCACGTTTTAAGACAACACCCGCCTGCCATCCGTGAACCTCTTGCAAACTTTGAAGACGAGTTTGTGCGGCGCTAAGGCCAGAGTCACATTTTGACGAGGAGCCGCTCTCCATCCGTGAAGCTCTTGTGCGCTCTTCAGACGGCTGCGCGCGGCATTACAGCGAGAGCCACACTTTGAACACCCCCCGCCCTCTATCCGCGAAACTTTTGTTGCGATCTTTTAAGACGAGTGTACGCGGCGCTGCGGCGAGAACCGCATTTCGATAACGGCCCACCCTCCATTCGTGAAGCTGTTGCGCATTCTCAACTTCAGGATCATAAATGGAGGAAGTCTCACGCGAAACGCCCAGCCCGCCCTGCCGACGCGTCTCGTGGTGCGACAGGGGGGAGCTACCTGTAAGGAAAAGGAATGGAGGAGGGGGGGGCACGATCCTTCGTCCTTCCTTTTCTCCTTCCTTCCTTCTTTCTCCCCTCCCCTCCCCTCCCCTTTTCCCACTTCCTTCTTTCTTCCTTCCTTCCTTCCTTCTTTCTTCCTTCCTTTCTCCTCTCCTTCTTTCTCCCTCCTTTCTTCCTTTTTTCCTTCTTTCTTCCTTCCTTCCTCCCCTTCCTTCTTCCTTCCTTTCTCCTCTCCTTCCTTCCTTCCTTCTTTCTCCCCTCCCCTCCCCTGCCGGCAGACCATGACCCTGGTCGCGGCCTCGCCCGTCCCAGCCGCCGTCGTGCACACCGTCAGGAGGTTCAAGAGCGAGCCGCTCTCTGCGGCGCCAGGGGACTGCCGAAGCGGGCTCCCCCTCGTCTGCTTTCCCGAGGGCGCCCTCGAGGGCGCGAAGTTATTCGCGCTTCGCGCTTCGCGGTTCGGCTTCGATTCCTCCTCCTCTTCTCCCCTGGGAGGCGGCGCGAGAGCGCGAAGTTATTCGCACTTCGCGCTTCGCGCAGCGCGAAGCGCGAAATTGGGTGCCCTTGTTTCCCCTCCATGAAGCATTGGAGGTTCACTGTCCGCGGATTAGTGCTGTTTTTTTTGGGGGGGGCCGTTTTCGGCCTCGGCCCGTTTCGGCTCCGGCCCGTTGCGGCTTCATCGGTCTCTTTCGGCTTCGGTCCGTTTCGTCCTGGTCCGTTTCGGCTTCGGCCCGTTTTGGCTCCGGTCCGTTGCGTCCCAGCCCGTTTCCGTTTCGGCTCTGGCCCTGTTCGTCCCGGCTCGTTTCGGCTCCAGCCCGTTTCGGCTTCGGCTGGTTTCGGCTTTCAGGTTGCGCTCGCACCCGGGCCGTGAAGCCGAAACGGGCCGAAGCCGAGCCGGACTGAGGCCGAAGCGGGTGGAGCCGAAACGGGCCGAAGCCGAGGCGTGCCGAAGCAGAAAAGGGTGGAGCCGAAGCAGGCCGAGCCGCAACGCGCCGAAGCCGAGACGGGCTGAGGCCGAAACGGGCCGAAGCCGAAACGGGACCGAAGCCGCAACGGGCCGGAAGCCGAATCGGGCCCGTGTCCGTGGGCGGTCTTGGAGCTCTCTGGGGCCGTCTGGGGGCCCTCTCGGGGCGTCTGGGGGCCCTCTTGGGGGCCTCTGGGGCCGTCCTGGGGCGATCTTTGGGGCCTCTTGGGCCGTCCTGGGCCGTCGGACGCCTGAAAAGGCGAGAACCCTAAAAACCGACACCTCGTCCTAAACAGGTTGCCGAGCCTCGCTGGAGCTCCTGAGCTCGTTTCGTTTTTATCCAGGGGGCACGAAGCCGAAACGGGACCCGAATCGCTTTTGGCTTCGGCACGTTTCGGCCTCATCCGCTCGTTTCGGCTTTGCTCCGTTTAGTCTCCGCCCGTTTCGTCCCGGTCTGTTTCGGATTCGGCCCGTTTCGTCCCAGCCCGTTTCGGCTCTGGTCCGTTTCGCCCCAGCCCGTTTCGGCTCCGGCCCGTTTCGTCCCGGCCCGCTTCGGCTGCGGTCCTTTTCGGTTTCGGCCCGTTTCGGCTTGCAGGTTCGCGTTCGCCCCCGGGCCGTGAAGCCGAAGCGGGCCGAAGCCGAGCCGGACTGGAGCCGAGTGGGGCGGAGCCGAAACGGACTGGAGCCGCGACGCGCCGAAGCCGAAGCGGGCTGAGGCCGAAGCGGGCCGAGGCCGAAGCGGGGCCGAAGCCGAAAAAGGGCCCGAGGCCGGGTCGTATTTCCTGGTCGGGGGGGGGGGCGGGGGCTCCAGGTGAGGCGCCTCTCGGCGCCGTTTGGCTGGATGCCCCTCGAGAGTCTCGTAGGCACGCACCCCGCCCGAGGATTCTTTCGGGGTCGCCTCGGCCCTGCCTCCTCGTCATCGGGCTCTGCCTCCTCGTCATCGGTGGGGAGCGGGAGCGGAGGGATGAGGCAGAGCGGGAAGGGGAGGGACGAGGCAGAGCGGGAAGGGATGATGATGCTGCTGCTGATGATGATGAGGATGATGATGATGCTGATGATGATGCTGATGCAACTGATGATGCTGCTGCTGCTGCTGATGATGATGATGATGAAGATGCTGACGATGGTAATGATGATGATGCTGATGATGATGCTGATGATGATGATGATGATGCTGATGCTGCTGCTGCTGATGATGATGATAATGATGATGGTAGTGGCGGTGGTGATGATGATGGTGATACTGATGATACTGCTGATAATGATGCTGCGGCTGCAGATGATGAGGATTATGATGCTACTGCTGCTGATGATGAAGATGATGATGATGATGATGATGATGATGATGATGATGATGATGATGATGATGATGATGATGATGATGATGATGATGATGATGAAGATGATCATGCTGATGCTGATGCTGATGCTGATGATGATGATGATGATGATGATGGTGATGATGATGATGATGACGATGGTGATGCTGACGATGGTAATGATGATGATGCTGCTGATGATGATGACGATGATGATGATGCTGATGCTGATGCTGATGCTGATGCTGATGCTGATGATGCTGCCGCTATGCTGATGCTGATGCTGATGTTGATGAGGAAAATACTGATGATGATGCTGATGCTGTTGCGGCTGATGATGATGCAGATGATGATGCTGATGGTGCTGATGATGATGCTGATGATGATGATGATGATGATGATGATGAAGATGCTGACGATGGTAATGATGCTGATGCTGATGATGCTGCTGCTGATGATGATAATGATGATGGTAGTGGCGGTGATGATGATGATGATACTGATGATAATGCTGATAATGATGCTGCGGCTGCTGATGATGAGGATGATGATGATGCTGTCGCTGATGATGATGCTGCTGATGATGATGATGATGCTGATGCTGATGCTGATGCTGATGCTGATGCTGATGCTGCTGCTGATGATGATGGTGATGATGATGATGCTGATGATGCTGCTGCTGATGATGATAATGATGATGGTAGTGGCGGTGGTGATGATGATGATGATACTGATGATGATGATGCTGATAATGATGCTGCGGCTGCTGATGATGAGGATGATGATGATGCTGATGATGATGATGATGCTGATGATGATGATGATGATGCTGATGATGATGATGATGATGATGATGATGATGATGATGATGATGATGATGATGATGATGATGATGATGATGATGATGATGAAGATGATGATTATGATGATGATGATGATGATGATGATGATGATGATGATGATGATGATGATGATGATGATGATGATGATGATGATGATGATGATGATGATGATGATGATGATGATGATGATGATGATGATGATGATGATGATGATGATGACTGATGGTGATTGTGATGAGGAGGAGGCCGATGAGGAAGGTGGGGGGAGAGGAGGGAGGGAGGGGAGAGGGAGGAAGGAGGGAGGAGGGAGTGAGGAGGGAGGGAGGAGGGAGGGAGGATAAGTGTTGAGGAAGCAGGATGCGGATCGGAAGGGAGGAAAACGATGAGGGGTGAGGGATAAAAGGCGGAGGTCGGAGTGACAGGGGTGTTTGCCAGCTGCGTTCTCGTACCCTCTTGCCTCCCCTCCCGCCGACCAGGAGCACTCAACAGATACCGAAGAGAGGACGGGGTGCCCCGTGGCGCTGGGGGGGCGGGGGAGGAGGTGGGAGGAGGGGCGGGGAGCGGAGGGCGGATGCGGAGGCGGCACGACCAGACCGAGGAGCTGTCAACACGTGGTTGCAGTTTTCTCCCCTGGCCGTAGGCCGAGTGCAGAAGCGCGGGATTGGCCAGCGTTGACCTCCCCTGGAACATTTGTTATACATCCGCTGCTTTCCGCCCTCCTGCCGCAGGCAGTGCCGCGATCGGCTCACCTGGGCTTGCTTTCCTCCAGCCTCCCGCGAGCGTGTGCTGAGGGCGAGATGTGAGCCTCTCGAGCCCACACAGGGGGGGGCTTGCTTTGGAGGGGCCTGGGGCATTGAATGAAAGCGATCCTGAGGTATTTCGACGATGACGCCGACGATCGACGACGACGATGCCTTCGTTGCGGAGGTGTCTGGGTGTTTCGGATGGGTGTCGTCGCCGCTGCTGGACGCGGCGCGACAGACTGGCCAGGACGGGACCCACAGGTCCAGGGGCCGGTTTCGAGCCGTTTTTTTTGTTGTCGGACGACGATGGCAGCGGTGACGGCGGCAGCGGCGGCGGCGGCGCCGACGACCACGACCCTCCCCGAGGCGCTCGCGTGCATCACTGCGTCGCGATTGGCCGGGAGCGCCGAGGTCGCCGCGGCATGCGTGCGCGCGGGCGCCATCGATGAGGCCCTGGGCCTCATGGACCTGTACCCAGGCTGTCTGCCAGGGGAGGAGGGAAGGTGAGGAGCAGCTGGGGAGAGGAGGAGGAGGAGGGTTTTTTAGCATCGATCTGGGCGACCGCGCGGTGGCCCCCCCACCAAAAAGCCATGTGGAGGAGGAGGAGGAGGAGGAAGAGGAGGAAGAGGAGGAGGAGGAGGAGGAGGAGGAGGAGGAGGAGGAGGAGGAGGAGGAGGAGGAGGAGGAGGAGGAGGACCAAAGTAAACCAATGATGCATCAGCGATGCTGTAACGTACCCTCCCGTCCCAAGTCCCCTCGTCATACACCCCTGCAGATTTTCTGTTTCACATCAAACAGCGCCCAATTCGAAAGACCATCGCAGTTGGGCGGCTTGCCAGTGCCGCGAGGGCCCCGCTTTGAAACATAGTTACCTTGCACATCTCTGGCGCGTAAGCAGGAAAGCGATAATACGATGGTCATGCAGTTCGAGGAGGTGTGCAGCGAGATCCCCCCTGTCCAAGAAGGCCCCCCCGTGTAACTCTTGCAACAGGTTATACTTGTGGTAATGAACTTCGAGGAAATCTCAAGCGGCAGCCCCATCTTGAAACAGAGCCGCCATGAATCCGTGCAGCGCTGCATGCGTTGCTGTTCCGGGTTTATACACTTCGTGAGATTTTACGCGGCAGCTCCACTTCCAAACCAACTAGTTACCCGTCCTTCTTAACTTTGCATGATTTCATGCACTCTCCCCCTTCGCCTCCTCCTCCCCCTCTCACACGAATGCTCGCGGCACGAAGGCGAGAGCAACTGCAGAGAGGACTGCGCCCTTGCGCTGCAGGGGGAGAAGGGGGAGGGACGGGAGCGGGGAGGAAAGGGGATGGGGGAGGGGGAGGAGAGCGGTGGGGGTTGGGGAGGAGGCCAGGGGCCCAAGGAGGACCCCGAGATGACCAAAGAGGTCCCCTATGAGGCGCCCGAGGTCCCTTGCTTGGAGGCCTCCCGATGGGCTCGCCCGAGCCTCCTCCGGGGGGGGGGGGCTGTCGGCGGGGGGGGCTCGGCCGAGCCGAGCCGCATGGAGCGGCGGGCCCAGGCCACGGCGGCGTGCAGAACGTGTGCCTGATGGTCCTCGGGGTGGTCCTGAAGGTCTGGCGGCGCGCGCACACGGGGTGGGGGGGCTCCCAACGGCACCCCCCCGCGGCGTGGGAGGTTCCCAAGAAGGCAGGGGGCTTCTTTAGACGCCCTCCTGCCTTCTCAGAGGCCCTCCCCAGACGCCCTCGCGTTTGCCCCCCCCTCCCCCCCGCCCCTTCCCCCTCCTTCCTCCCCCTCCGCTCCCCCCCCCCGCCCCCTCCGCTTCTAAGAAGGCAAAGGGCTTCTTTAAACATCCCCCTGCCTTCTGAAAGGCCCTCCTCCCTGGACCCCCTCGCGTTTGCCACCCCCCCCCCCCCCCCCCCCCCCCTCCCCCCTCCCCCCCCTCACCCCTTTCCCACCTTCCGCCCCCACAGGCAGTCAGGGGGTTTCTTTAGAAGCCCTTCTGCCTTCTCAGAGGCCCTCCCCAGACCCCCTCGCATTTGCTCTCTCTCTCTCCTCCTCCTTTTTGTTCTCTCTCTCTCTCTTTTTTTGCTTTCTCTCTCTCTCAATCTCTCTCTCTCTCTCTCTCTTTCTCCCCCCCCGCCCCCCCCTTCCCCCCCCTCCAGGCTTCTGAGAAGGCAGGGGTCTTCTTTAGAAGCCCTCCTGCCTTCTGAGAGGCCCTCTCCAGACCCCCTCGCGTCTCCAGACCCCCTCGCGTTTGCCCCTGCCCCCTCCCCCCCCGCCTTCCTGATTTTTGAGGGGCCCTCCCCAGACTCCCCGCGTTTGTCCTTCCCCCCCCCTCCCCCCCTCTCTTCCAGAGCGTTGTGTGCACCACCAGTGAGAGGATCGGATCGGCTCGGATCGGATGAAGGCCCATGGTCAGCCTGTAAGAGTGGGGCAAGGAAAGAGAACGAAGCGGGCTGGGAGACCCATCCCCCCAGCCTGTCCCGGCTGCCACCAGGGGGGAGGTCGAGGGAGGGGGCTCCGCGCTGGCGCAGCAGGCGTCCGCGCACGTTCGGAATTTTCGTAGAATCAGAATCAGGAGGGGAAGAAACACACATGCACAATTAATCGTCGACCCCCCAGAAATATGGGAAAATATGGGAAGTGTGTGTGTGTGTGTGTGTGTGTGTGTGTGTGTGTGTGTGTGTGTGTGTGTGGGGGGAGGCAAGAACCCCAAAACTGTGGGAACATGTGGGGATCAGTTTTACTTATGTGTATTTACTTGTGTGTCCTGGGGCTTCTTCACATCCACGCCACGAACATACAGTCGGGGCCCTGAAGAAGGAACCCTTTTCGTTGGGGAGGGGCTCCGCGTTCCTTAAGTGTTTCACAGCTTGCCTCAGGCTTTCCTTATGTTTTCGACATGAAATCGAAGGTTAACGTATGGAAAAAAGGGGCCTCGTTCCTTATTTAGGGTTCCTTAGGTCAACGCTCCGCGCGGATCTCTTGCATCGGCGCCCAGGCCTCCCCCGCGGCGCCTCCTTGCGCCGCCCGCTTAGCGCGCTCCGCGCGCCTAGGAGGGGGGCTCCGGCGCGGCTCCCAGAAGACCGCGCGGAGCGCCAGCAGTTCATGTTTGTGGCGTTTTTTTCTTGCCCTTCTCCTTATTGTTTTTTTCCTCTTCTTCTTCTTCTTTTTCTTCTTCTTTTTCTTTTTCTTCCTCTTCTTCTTTCTCTTAGTTTTCTTCTTCTTCGAAAGTTAGCGCTCGCTCGGTTTTGTGCATCTCTTGAAAGGAGAAGGACACGGCGCGGCAGGCCCTGTCCATGGGCGCCGTGTCGCGGGTGCTCCGGGCCATGGAGTCGACCGAGGGCCGCGAAGTGCAGAACAACGGCCTGGCCGCGCTCCGCCTCCTCACCGACACCGGCCGGGGGCCCAGGGGTGGCCTCCACGACGCGGCGGCGCGGGCGAAGGAGGAGGTGCAGGAGGCGGCGATGCGCTCCAAGGCGTCGCACCAGAACGACGAGGTGGTCCAGAAGGCCGACGAGCGGATTTTCCACCACCGCCACTACCATAGGGAGGAGGAGGAGGAGGAGGAGGAGGAGGAGGAGGAGGAGGAGGAGGAGGAGGAGGAGGTGGTTCAGAAGGTGAACGTTTTCTTATTCATTGGTCTTCCGATCGGCGCGGGCCCTCGCCCCCCCCCCCCCCCTGTGGAGTAGAGCTCGGTCGCTTTTGGCGCCTGGTTCGAGCAGGTGGAGTCCCTCCCCCTATAAGACGCACTGTTGCAAGCAGTCGCACTCCGCAGAGGTCCGGAGCTACACCTCCCCTATCCCCCCCCGCCCAATGTCGAAGCGCCGACGAAGAAAACGCTGACAAGGCCGCCAACGACGTCCTGGCCCTCGTGACCCCGCGGTTCAAGGAGGTGCTCTGCTGGCACTGGCAGAGCGGCTGGTGCAAGCTGGGGCCGCGGTGCACGTACGCGCACGGCCCCAACGACCTCCGCGTCGGCTGACCCGCGCTCCGCCGTCCAGCAGCGCAGAGGGCTCCCCGGCTGGGTGGGCCGAGCTCCTCGCAGCACGGGTGGTAGAGTCCCGAAGTTTTTGTTCTCTATCTCCGGGCCTCCAACGCCCAGACCTCCGACGTCTTGAGCAGCATGCTGCAGCTCTGGTTTGTTACCTGCTCTCCGCTTGTTTCGCCTCGGGGGGGCAGTTGTTGGGCTGCGGGGCTGCCAGTCAAAGCGATCACGGATGACAAAGCGGCCCCTCGGGAAGGGCTCGAGAGCTCCGCGGACCCTGCATGGGAAGATCAGGGCATCGGAGGTCTGGGAGCCCTCTCCGTCGACCCAGAAGCTCTCTCAAGTCTGCTGGCCTCGGTCCCCGCTGGTGTCGGTGTCTCGCTGAGCGGATCCGGCAGCATGTGGCGAGGTTGGGTGAGATGAGAGAGGCCTGCTGAAGGGTGCGCTTCGTGGCTCAACAAAGGTCGATGGGCTTCAAGCGGATGCAAGGGTTCATCATGGTCGTTATATTTTTCCTTCTCTTACAGTCAGCAGTTAAAACTAGTAGTATGGATGCAGTGCTTTTCTAAGGTTATCCTTGCATTCTTGCCCCTCGGGTTTACTCTTCTATCCGAGCCTGCTCTGGTCGCGTGCCGTGAACTTGCAAAGCTCTTGCGTCCTTACCTCGCATCCTTGTTGCGAGTCTTGAGTATGAGTCGCCATGACTTTCACCGGCTTTGCCTGCCCTCAGCTACATTCGATCGCTGCAGTCGGTGATATTACCGCGGCACTGGCAAGGGCCCCTTGTCACCGTCGCCAGCGGTGTCGTGACACGTGCTCTTGGAGTGCCTGTCCCACGGGCATTGCGGCTCGACCTGCTCGAGGTCACGCCAGCGTGTCATTTCCCGGCGGCATTTCGCGGGTTGCGGAGGTGGCCGTGGGGATGCCCTGTTCTGAGGTCCCAGTGGCCTCGGTTTGCGAGCAAGAGCTCCCGACGAGTGAGAGGCATTGCGGTCTGTCGAGGAGCACAGGGCGCACACGAGTCACCAACGCATGTTCAGCGAGGAGCTCCACGGTGTCAGTTGTCATTGTCATTGGAGCGGGTTTCGCGTCGAGAGGACTCGTTACGTTGGCGAGAGGTATGCGCCCGCGCACTGGGCATTCGGACGCAGCGGCAGCGGCGGAAGCAATCCTCAAGGGAGAGCCGCATGGGGGAAGGCAGGATGAGAAGGAGGAGGAGGGTACGTATTGAGGAGGAGGATGATGATGAGGAGAAGGAGCAGTAGAAGGAGGGTTGTGGACGATGGTTCTGATGATGATGATGATGATGCTGATGATGATGATGATGATGATGATGATGATGATGTTGAGGTTGCTGTTGATGATTGGGATGTTAATGATGGCGGCAATGATGATGATGCTGCCGATGATGATGCCTATGTTATGGTGATGATGCTGATGATGATGACGATGACGATGACGATGATGACGATGACGATGATGCTGATGCTGATGATGACGACGATGACGATGCTGCTGCTGATGATGATGACGATGATGAGGTTGTTCTTCTTGTCGTCGTTGTTGTAGACGTTGTTGTCGTTGTTGATGATAGTGATGATGATGATGATGATGATGATGATGATGATGATGATGATGATGATGATGAGGATGCTGAACAGAAAAACGAGGCGGAGGGTGGAGGAGGGACAGGAGGAGGAGGACCAGGCTGAGGGTGAGGGGGAGAACGATGAGGAGTATGCGGGTGCGTAGGGTGATGATGAGGATGGGGATGAGGATGAGAAGGGTGATTGATGAAGAGGAGTCGGGGCAATGATGAGGGGGAGGCGCGGGATAAAGATATGATGAGGCGGACAGAGATGACAATGCTGCTGCTGCTGATGATGATGATGATGATGAGGAAGATAGCTGTGGTAGCGATGGTGCTTATAACGATGCTGCCGACGCTGACGATGCTGATGCTGATGATGCTTATGATGATGACGATGATATCGATGATGATGATGATGCTGCTGCTGCTGGTGATGATGATGATGGTGATGCTGATGATGCTGATGATGATGACGATGATGACGATGACGACGACGATGCTGATGGTGATGATGATGATGATGATCTTGAGGTGGAGGAGGAGTAAGATACGGGGATGATGATGATCTGATGATGATGCCGAAGATGATGATGACGATGCTGATGATAATAATGCTGCTGATGATGATGATGATGATGATGATGATGATGATGTTGAGGATGATCAGGATGATGACGATGCCGATGCTGATGATGATGCTGTTGCTGCTGATGACGAATTTGAGGGAGATACTTCGTAGGATAAGGAGCATGGGGACGAGGCGGGTGGAGGAGGAGGAGGAGGAGGAGGAGGAGTTGAAGGAGGACTGATGCGAAATGTGGATAATGCTGATGAGGAGGCTTGTGATGATGATTGTGGTGGTGGTGGTGGTGGTGGTGATAAAGATCATGATGGAGTTGTTGATGATGGTGATGATGGAGATGACGATCATGATGGTGGTGGTGCCGCTGATGATGATGACGATGATGATTATGACGACGACGATGATAATGTTGTTGATGATGATGATGATGATGACGATGAGCACGATGGTGCAATGACGATGCTGAGGACTATAATTCTGATGATGGTGATGACGATAATGATGAGGAAGATGATGAGGATGAGGATGAGGATGAGGATGCTGGTGGTGGTGCCGATGATGCTGCCGACGACTGTGATGATACTGCTTTTGATGATGATGCTGCTGCGGATGATGATGATGATGGTGATGATGATGATGATGATGATGAGGATGCTGCTGATGATGATGAGGTTGCTGCTGCTGCTGATGATGACGATGATGATGATGATGATGATGATGCAGGCGATGATGCTGCTGCTGATGATGCTGATGATGATTGATGATGCTGGTTGTTGTTGATGATGATGATGATGCTGATTATGTTAACGATGATGATTATGATGATGCTGTTGTTGATGATGATGATGATGATGCTGCTGCTGCTGATGATGATGATGATGATGGTGATGTTTTTGCGGACATGTGTTGTACGCACCTAAATGCTGGGACTCGTGCCTATACGTTTGAGTCGGTCAGCTCGAAACAACGGATCGCATGCTTGGCATGGTCCCTTAACCCTCAATCCTTGCTTATAGTTGCGAATGTCCGGATGATGAGACATTGCACTTGTGCTCCCTTTTGGCCGCCCCCTTCTGAGGGTCACGAGGCCTGTATGGATCATGCGCGACGGCCCCTTTACGCGGGGGACGGGGTTCCCCACGGAGGAGGAGGAGGAGGAGGAGGAGGAGGAGGAGGAGGAGGAAAAGGAGGAGGAGGAGGAGGAAGAGGCCCTCTGCAGATCGAGGGAGGGCATCTGCCCCAGATGTGCTCATGATCAGCCACGTGTTGCCAGAAGTGCTAGCGTTGACGCTGACCTAGCGAGCACCTCAGCGCAGGCGACCGCATACAGCAGGTGGAAAGGTTGTGTTTCGCCCAGTGCAGGTTCCCTCCAGTCGTTTTCGATCGGTCATTTTCGCCCGGGCCGTTTCCGCCCAGAACGTTTTTTCCCAGGGCGGTATCGCCTGATGTCGTTTTCGCCCCGTCGTTTTCACCCGGTCGTTTTCGCCCTTTGCAGTCGCTTTCACCCGGTCGTTCTCGCCCAGTCGTTTTCGCCTGGTTGTTTTCGTTCGGTCGGTTTTGCCGCGTCGGTTTCGCCCGGCCCGTTTCGCCAGGTCGTTCTTGCCAGGTCGTTTTCGTCGCGTTGTTTTCGCCCGGTCGTTTTCGTCCGGTCGTTTTCGTCCGGTCGTTTTCGCCCGGTTGTGTTCGCCTGGGCGTTTTCGCCCGGTCGCGTTCCCGTGTCGTTTCCGCCCAGTCGGTTTCGCCTGGTCGTTTTTGCCCAGTCGGTTTCGCCCGGTCGGTTTCTCCCAATCGTTTTCGCCCGGTCTTTTTCGCCCAGTCCGTTTCGTCTGGCGGTTTCGCCTGGTCGCTTCCGCCCTGACCGTTTCCCCCGAGCTGTTTGACCCAAACGCTTTGACCCGAACGTTTTCGCTCGAGCTGCACTCCTCTCGTCGTTGCTGCTGGCGCTGTTCTCCGTTCTCCCCCTCCCTCGTACGCCTCCGTCCTCGTCTTCCTCCCTTGTCCTGTTCGTCCTGCTCCGCACTCTCCTCTTGGAATCCTCACACCTGCCCTTCTTTCCCCCTGCGACTCTTACAAGCTCCCCCCCTCCCAACTACCGTCGGAAGCCCTCCCTCCCTTTCATTTTCGCCCCACGGAAGATTTTCCCCCTCCCCTTGGACCTCCCCAGCCCGAAGCAATGCCATTCTACTCTACTCGTCACACGGCAATGCCTGGGCGGAAGGGCGAGAACAACACAGTCCTAGGATGCTAATCACGTGGCATTGCTGGGCGACAGAAAACATCTGATTGTACCACGATGACGATGACGCCAGCGATCACGCCGACGATCACGCCGACGACGACGACCACGACGACGACGACGACGACGACGACGACGGCGACGGCGACGGCGATGACATCGACCACCACCACCAATCACCGCCCGCACGCCCGCGCGCCCGCAGGTCCGCTCGTTCGCCCGCCTGCCCCGCCCGCCCGCCCGCCCCGCCCGCCCGCTCGCCTGCCCACCCGCCCGCCCGTCCGCCCGCCTGCGTGCCTGCGCGCCCGCCCGCCCGCCCGCCCGCCTGCCCGCTTGCCCGCTCGCCCGCGCATCCGCGCCCCCGCCCTCCCGTTCCCGTCGTCGTATGCTGCGCCACATAGATTTCAGCACACATTTATCGCCACACATATTGCTCCAAATAGTTTGCATCACATAGATTTCACCGCATGGGCTGGACCATATATATATATATATATGTGTGTATATTCCACAACATATACGGCACATCGTAGATGGAAATCACAATCTAGAATCTACAACATTCTTCGCTTCACCTACGTGGCACCACATATGTTGTCCCACGTATATTGCACCGCATAAGTTGCACCACGTAGATTGCTAGACACATTATGTTCGGGGCCCACGCTGGCTAACATCTTCGCCAAGTGAGCCAGGAGAAGCCCGCGCCAGTCAACCAGTGGCGGCATGCGTTCGATATGGGAAGTGGGCAGGATGACGGAGAGACGAAGCAGGACAGTGGAGCAGGAGAAGGAGGAGGAGGAGGAAAACAGAACCTGATGATGATGATGATGATGATGATGACGATGAGGATGATGATGATGATGCTGCTGCTGCTGCTGATGATGATGATGATGATGATGATGATGATGATGATGATGATGAAGATGATGATGCTGCTGCTGCTGCTGCTGATGATGATGATGATGATGATGATGATGATGATGATGATGATGATGATGATGCTGATGATGATGCTGATGATGATGAGGATGGAGGAGGAGGATGATGAGAAGAGGAGGAG